AATTTTTTCACAATATCCAAGCTAAACCTCCCCTGATGCAGCTTGAGCCCATTTCGTCTCGTCCTATCGCTTGTTCCCTGGGAGACGAGCCCGACCCCCCCTCCCTGCCCCCTCCTGTCAGGAGCTGCAGAGCGATCGGGTCTCCCCTCAGCCTCCCCTTCTCCAGGCTGAACACCCCCAGCTACCTCCGACGCTCCTCATAAGGCCTGTGCTCCAGACCCTTCCCTGTGCTCCAAGACGGAGGCCGAGGGGTCTGTGCCCACGATTCAGGGTTCCCCTTTGTCCCTGCCCGCTGCAGGTGTGCCCAGTCTGCTCAGCCATGCCCTGGGGGGACCCCAGCTACAAAAGCGCCAACTTCCTCCAGCACCTCCTCCACAGGCACAAGTTCTCCTACGACACCTTCGTGGTGAGTACGTCCCTGAGCCGAAACGGAGTCATCTTCCCCGCTTCCCACCCGGAGCGGCTGGGAGATGAAACCAGCCCTTCCCTTCCCATGCCAGGACCAGCCCGTCCCGCCGTGCAGGGAGGGGAAGGGGACAGTTCCTCCTTCGGGCTTTGCGGGAGGCACGCAGCACACACGTAGCCCCACTCGGGAGACCCCCCACGGGTGTGGGGCTGGGCTCCCTGCCTGCCCCGGAGGGTGCTCGAGCTGGTTGTCATCAGACACACCAGGAAAACATCTCTGAAGGAGGAGAGGGAAATGTCAGACACAGCAGGAAAGCGGCTCTGAAGGAGGAGAGGGAAATGTTAACAGCTCTCCGTGAAGATGGGTTGTTTCCTCCGCGTGCTCCTTTAAACTCTTCCCTTGGGGAACTGTAGCACAAAAGCCCTTTTCTTTGAGGCTTTGTGAGTAGTGGGATGGGAGCAGCCCAGCCTCGGGGCTCGGGGGGTCTGGCTGCTAGCTGCTGCACATGGGGGACCTCCGTGGCCCCCCTCTTGGGAACCTGCTGACCCCTCCTGCGTGGGAGTAAGGGTGTGATCACCCAGTCTTGGCTGCAGGGACCGAGGGGAGGTTTTGTTGGCGTCCTGCTTTTATTGCAGGGATGCTAGATTTCAGGGAAAGGAGCCTCTAACTATTTACAGAGAAATAGCCCCGCTTAGGGAGTGATCGCTGTGTTGCATAAACCCAAACCGGAGCGCCAGAGAAGCCCGCGGCCTTGCTAGAAAGCTTTGCCCTTTGGCCACAGCTTCTTGCATGGGCACGTTTCATCCCTGCCGGGTCTCAGAGCAGGGCTGACGTTGGCAGATTCCAGGCCGGAGAGGGACCGTGGGCACAGAGGACCCCCCA